AAGATGCATGCAAAAGTCATTGACAGGCACGAGGTATCAATACTGTTATATATAACAACAACATATAGGTAGGAATACTACACTTGCATCAAACATGACCTTTGAAAACAATTATTTACTTCTAGTATTGCTGGCTTGTCCGCTAGTTGAGTCCGACATGGCACATGACGGCGTGCCGTTGTTGATATCCTCACTTTCGAGTGATCTGCGCTAACTTTACGCAGGGCTTCCCCGAGATTTCAGTGGTCAAAATTGGAGATTGCAAGCAGAACTCGACCATCATATTGCTGTGGTATAACTTTTGGAAGGCCAGAGAACGCATTTAGACCCATTTATCTGAATTTTTTTCCCCGACAAGCCCCTTTAATGATTCAGAATGAGATAATACTGCTTTCAGAATGAGATAATTATAAGAGCACAAGCTCAATGAGATTTTAGACCGTCATTACAATTAGGAGGAGACCTGGGCAAATTCGGCCCCTTTTATGTAAGTCTGTTCTGGGAAGTAGGGCAGTATGTCTGTTTTTGAAGAATTATCTAACTTTTCCTGTCGGATCGGATGGCCGAACGAGCACCCCCATTGGGTAAGTTCGGACAGGCATTCGGGTAAGTTAGGCCCCCCTTAAAATCAGCTTAATTACATTGTCATAAAACATGCAACGTCAGATTTTCCCGCCAATTTTACATTTTTTTAAGTGTTGCATGGGCCGGTTCGGCATGTGCCATGTCCGGCTCAATTTGATATTTCAATAAATTCCTATATTACAACAATATGATAGTAAGTGTTTGGCATGGCTATTATGTATATCATTTGAAGCTGTTGGTGGTTTACACGCTTGACCGTCAAAAACGTATCAATTCTGTTTACAGAAAGTTAGCATAACTAGAAAGATGATGATTTTCTTCTAACATCTCAAAAGTAACTTTCTCCTTTTAAGTAATTTTCATTATATTTTTCCTCATTATTTTGATATGATGTACTTTTTTTGCACTCACAGGGAACAAACCAGCCTTTTTTTACCGTTTATCGGTAAATTTCCCCTCGAGATAGAAATTCCCCTTTCCCCTAAAATTCCCCACAAGGCTTGTTAAAGGTTCCCCAAATGACACTAAAAAGTCCCCTTCTCAAAGATTTCTTTTTCCCCAGCCAAAAACAGTTCCAAAAGTAGCAAGAAATGTGTTCAAGTTTCGTACTCGCGATCTGACGATATCACACACGCGCTGTACGTAGAGTCTAGAGAGATATTACACACGCGCTGTACGTAGAGTCTAGAGAGTTCAGAACGTCGTGGTCCGAGGTGCATTTGATCTGCGAAAACGCTTAAAATCAGTGTTACGGGGACGGCAAAACGGTAAAACTCTGTCGAACGCACCTGCCGTTATACAAACATGTTAATGACCGGGCTGCTTCAAGCTTTTGAGTGACATCTCCGACGTAAACAACAACCTAATCATGTCTCACAAAGCGGGATATTACGTTAAAAGAGTGAAGGGTTTACTTTTTTATGAATATTATAATTCTAGTCAAATATTATCTTGTTTTTGTTTCATGTTGAGTCTTGTTGTATTATTTACTTATATACTTATGCTAGTACTAGTCAAAACTTTATTGTACAATATTGTACAGCCTCATTCCATGTTTCTAGTCATATCATAAAGTCACTTACAAGTGACAGGGTTTACTTTTTTATGAATAATGTTAGTCAAATATTATTTTGTTTTTGTTTCATGTTGAGTCTTGTTGTATTATTTACTTATGTTAGTCCCAGTCAAAATGTCAGTGTACAATATTGCACAGCGTCATTCCATGTTTCTAGTCATATCATGCAGTCATAAACGTTGAAAAAATAAAAATCATTCCTTAAATGAATGATTCTTTTCATTTTTTTTAATGTTTTATGTTGTTGTAATAATCTGAACTAAATTTTAAAGATTTGATTTCTTAAAAGTCCTAAAAAGCCTTCTCCTTGCATCTACTAATGTAAAAAAATCTGGGGGAGACCCCCCGTACCCCCCTTAATAGAAGGGGCTCTGCCCCCCTCTCGTGCTCTCCCCCTGGCTCGTGCCTTCGGCACTCGACCAGAGGCCTCCGGCCTCCCAATCCCCCCACAACACTAAAAAGGGTATACTTCCCCAAATCCTGCATTGGTCCCTGTCTCATGTTTATTAGAAGTGTAACAGTAGAAAGATAAATGCAACGGCCAGACTGGGAACCCTCCGAACTCTAGACCGACACTAACCAATTGAGCTACCTGGTCGCCGACAATGGACCCAGTCCAGTTCTGCTACTTACTCTGTCCTTCAACAAAGTCTTCGACCCCGAAGACACACCAAACCCTATACAACCTTCCATGGGTAAAAGGAAAAAGAGGAAATGTAACAGCCAGACCGGGACTTGATTCTGGAACACTCCAAGCTCTAGACGGATGCTCGACCAATTGAGCTATATGGTCGCCATCGATCTAGTCCAGTTTCACTGCATTCCTTCTCCCTCCTCGAAGTCCCCGCCCCCGAAAAACACAACTATTTACAACCCAGTTTCGGGTACTCCTTTGCTAAGCGTACGCCTACTGCTTGAAACAAGCGTCGGCAAGATTGCCAATTTTGCAGCAGGAGAACGAGAAAATGTAACGGCCAGACTAGGGTATGAACGGCATATTTACCAAAAGTCGATCTAAACCCCTAAAACATATAAAATTACTCTGAACACCTTAGTTTAGGTCTAAATATAGCTGTAACATATTCTCAGGTTCCTGTTGTGTTCATAACTTTTTTGATATTTTTCAAAACAGGGAACAAAAAAGTGGATAAATTATTTGTACCATCACGCTGCAGTTTTTTCATCATTTGGTATTATCATGGAAAGTCCATGGTATAATACTACATTTGCATAGGAGACTTATCTCTTCTGGAACTAGAAGAAAATTATTCGTTTGTGTAACCATTCTTCCTTAGTTCTGGTGGTCATGCCTGCAATGTTCAATTAATTTTACTAAACTCGATAAAGCTGTTTTGGTAGTAACTGCACTCGAAATAATCCATCTGTGTGACAAAAAACGTTTAATGCAATAAACCATACAGTAATATAAAGCCGCAGGCGCTATTAACATGCAGTGTGGCTGCTATTATCCATACAGTAGCATGTCCAAAGGTGCTATTTACCATCATTGTTTATTTTATGTTTAAAAACACAAATGCTTTCGTTAATGTGTGTTTTGAATTTATAAATCATTGAATTAAGAAAAATTACATGAACCATGTGTCGAATGAGATCTGTAATTTAATTATTGACATATAATCTGTGCGATCGCTATTTCCAGAACCTATACAGTGCCGTTTGACCACAGTGATAATTATATATACAATTTCAAAGTTATTTTTTAATTTAAATATCAGACTAATTGTATACTTTACTCAAGTGAATTAGAAACATAAAATAACTTTATGAAATCGTATATTACATAAAATCTACTTGTCCGACAGACTAGTTGACTATAAAAATCACTGTCAGCAAAATCTGCTCCTCAGGACAAGCGGACGAGTGCTTTTGCCGAGCTCTGAAGATACTTGCATGCATTAACATGTATATGTATAAAAATAATTTATTTACTAGTTCATTGCAATTGTAATATAGAAGTGAAAATTGTGTAAAAAGGTGTTCTCGCATTTAAGACTTAAATTGTAAAAACCATCGATAACGGACCAAAAATAAATAAAAAATGCAGACATTTTTTTTATTTTTAGCCTTAAAATTGACCCTAACAGAAAGGATTTTTTCTCCTAAAACATGTCTTAAATTAAACAGCTCTTTAATGCTAACCAAAATACTCAGTTCCAATTCAGCATATATTCAACATTGATTTTTTTCGCAAACTTCGCATGTGTTGGAGGTTTTGTTGGAGCAGATTACAGACTGACCAAATTAAAATCTCATACCAAATACAAATTTTATATTATGAAAAACTTTGAGATGGAGACTCCTCCTTCTCAAAGGCGCTGTCCTGGGGGTCATTTATTTGAGGCTTCCGACCCCTACCCTTACTGTCCTGGCTGTCGGTCTTGCTCTCTGGAGGAGCCGTGTGACATTTGCCGTGCCTGGCAGCCGACTCCTGCCGGTTGTTCTCCCCGCCCGCGAGGGCATGCAGGTAAGTCGGGTAAGAGGGGTAGGGGTGGGGCGAGGGCTAAGGCTAGGCCTAAGCCCTCGGAGAACACCAGCGGAATTTCGACCTCTGTTGAGTCTTCCCTGGGGTTCGTTTCGGCGGTTTCGGCCCGTACCGGGGCCGTTGTGAAACGGTTCGAAACGGTTGCTCCAATTTTACGGAGACTCGGGATGAGGATAGAGTCGGCGAGTTTACTGACTCTGATTTGGAGTCGTTGGATTCGTCTGGGTTGGACTCGGTAGGCCCTTCTGATGTTTCCCAATCCCGGCCCCGAGATGCTGATCCGGTGCCTCCAGAGGTTTCGGCTTCGTTTCGTACTTTGCGTGCAGAAGTTATGAAGCTTCTGGGGGACGGGGTTTGCCCACGCCCTTCCACGGATTCGGCCGCATCCACGACCCAGTCTTGGCCCCTAATTCTGTTTCCCTTGAGAGGGATCAGGATAAGTGGCCGGGACGCTGTGTTGACCAGGTTGTGATGGGGCCTAGGGAGCACTCTAAGTTGGAGCGTCTCCTTAGGCTGGCTCTCCATGTTCTGTCCTACGCAGACTGGTTTACTTCTGCGTTGCTGGCTGCGAGCTGCAAGTCGGTGGAGCAGCTCCCCAGCAAGGTTGGACTGATGGAGCGCCTCAGCCAGGCAATTTGCAAGGCACATCTTGATGCGATGGCCTAACTGTCGGCTGCCATGTCACAACTTGTTGTTGCCCTCCGGTTGTCGGTCCTTTCTGGACTGCCAGTCGGCGATTCCTATCGGGCAACCCTTTTGGAGGCTCCCTTGATTTGTTTGGCGGGGTCCTTTCCTCAGTGCAATCTGAGATGAGGTTGGACCCGTTTGCATCTGAGGATGCACGCCACAACTCCGCAGGCAAGGGCGCTAGCAGGAAGGGGCAGGCTTCTGGCTCCTCCAGGCGTAGGAGGAAGAGGGCAAAGACGACTGCTTTTCAGCAGCAGGCTGCCCCTTCGACTTCCGCTCCGGCAGAACGTCGGAAATCTTCCTTCCGCGGTAGTGGTTCCAATAGGGGTCGAGGCAAAGCCAAATTTTCCAGAGGTAGGAAGGGTTCCTTCCTCTTCCTTGCCCTTGCTAACTCCTTGTCCACTGTCTGTCGCCGCGGGAGGCTCCGTCGATGTGGTTTGGGAAGGGCTAGATTGGCCCCTACCGGACTTGCCAGTAGGCGGTCGGCTGTCCCATTTCGTTCCTCAGTGGAAAGAAATCACATCAGACAGTTGGGCCCTAGGGGGTGTGTCCAAGGGTCTCTGCATCCCGCATCTTCGGGATCCACCTCTGGCGCGAGAGCCTATCTTTTTCCCTTCTCCTTCCGATCCGGGAAAGGTGGAGGCTCTCAGGTCAGAGGTTCAGGCCATGATCGCGAAGGGCGCGATCGAGGAACTTTCACCGGACCAGTGGTCTCCAGGGTTTTACTCCTGGGTCTTCCTCGTGAAGAAGAAGTCCGGTGCCTGGAGGCCTAGTATCGACCTCAGTACGTTCAACACGTACGTCGATTCCCCGCACTTCCGGATGGAAACGCCACGGCGCATCATTGCGTCAGTGCGTCCAGGGATGTGGGCTACGTCCATCGATCTGAAGGATGCTTACTTTCACATCCCGGTCAGGAGGTCAGCCAGGAAGTTCCTCAGGTTCACTTTCGAGCAGAAGGTTTACCAGTTTCGCGCTATGCCCTTCGGCCTCACTACGGCCCCCTTGGATTTTCACCAAGTTGTTGTAGGTAGTAGTGGGGCAACTCCACAGTCTCGGGGTAGATGCACACATCTACTTCGACGACTCCCTGTTGCTCCAAGTGGATCCAGTTATCCTGTCCCGGAGCACGAGGTCGGTTCTGGGCGTTCTGTGCCGCCTAGGGTTCATCGCCTCCAGGGAGAAGTCGGAGGTTCTCCCCTCCCAAGATTTTGTTTTCCTCGGTTATCGGTTCAGAACCGAACGGGGTTTGTCCTTCCACCAGTGTCCAAGTTCGAGAAGGCCTCTCTGTTGGTCTCCGTTCTGGTCGGTGTGGAGCGAATTCAGGTCCGATGGTTCCTTCGGTTCTTCGGTTACCTGAATTCACTGGCGGATGTGGTTTCCTTGGGTCGGCTTCACATCCGTCCGCTCCAGCTGTTCCTTCTGTCGGTTTGGTCTCCGGCGTCTCGGCAGTGGGATGTGTACACTCCTCTGCCGGAGTCGGTGAAGGAATCGGCTCGTTGGTGGACTCTCGAAAGCAATGTCTTGGCAGGAGTTCCTCTGGTTCGGGCATCTCCTGCTATGACCTTTTACACCGACGCGTCCATGACCGGTTGCGGTGCATACCTTTCCGGTCAGACGTCGGCGGGGGGGTGGTCGGGGGAACAGCTTTCAGAACACATCAATGTTCTGGAAATGCGTGCTGTTCTGTTGGCCCTTCGGGGTCTTCGACCTTCCCTGCAGGGCAAGGCCATTTGTCTGGCGACAGACAACTCCACTGTGGTGGCTTATCTGCAGCGCCAGGGGGCACCCGTTCCCCGGCTCTGTGTGCTTTATCCACCCAGGTCTTGTTGCTGTGTCAGGAGATCAGTCTCGATCTCACGTTGATGCACCTTCCGGGTCGTCTGATGGTTCTGGCCGACACTCTGTCTCGGTCTCGGAGCCCGGTTCTCACTGAATGGACCCTCAAGCGTTCGGAGTTCCTGTCTCTTTGCCTGGTTTGGGACAGACCCCATGTGGATCTGTTCGCCACGGCCCTGAACTTTCGACTCCCTACGTTTGTGTCTCCGTTTCCAGACCCTATGGACATGGCGGTGGATGCTATATCCCAGACGCGGGAATGTACGCGTATGCGTTTCCTCCCTTCAATCTGGTGGGCAGGGTGTTGGAGAAGATTCTTCTACACCCTTGTACTGTGTTGCTGGTTGCACCGCTCTGGCCTCGACAACCTTGGTTTCCTCTGTTGCCTCGGCTGTCGGTGGACTTCCCGCGCAGCATCCCACCCCTGTGGGATCTGCTGTCTCAACCGAGGTCCCGGCAGTTCTACTCGGGACCAGAACGGCTCCACCTTCACGGTTGGATGCTATCTCGGGAAGGCTCACTCAGACGGGCTTTTCTCGAGAAGTTGCAACTCGCATCGCAGGATCACTTAGACCTTCGTCTTCCGCCGTCTACCAATCTCGATGGTCCGCCTTCGGTGATTGGTGTGTCGGACGGTCGATTGATCCAGTCTCTGCCTCTGTTCCCGTTGTAGCCGACTTTCTTTTGTCTCTGTTCC